AGTGAAGAGAGCACTGTCCTTCTCGAATTTATGGCATGCGCCATGCTCGTCTTACCAATTGTGACCGTGTTGGGACTTTACCTGTTCCGGATGTTTCGGAACAGAGCAGGTCAAAAAAACGGTATGAAAGACATGCGAGAAGAATAAGTGTAATGCCACAGTAAAAATTTTCAACTTCGAGGTGAGCAAAATCAGCTTTCCCCGATAGCAGACGGCAAAAAAATTATATGAAACAGAATGCAATTAATTGTTATAATTACATTTACGATTAGAATCAGCTAGCATTGACTTCAGCTTTTGCGTAAAAGAATATGTAAATGTTTCCATTCCATTAGTGGTGGATTTAGCTGGAATTTTGTTCTGTCTTCAACAAAATAAAAATACCATAATTATGTTAAACTGTATGGAATAATACTTTCAATGACTGTGGATAATTTCATAACTTTTTCATTACAATAGAAATTATAATAGCAAAACATTTCTTATTTAATAACTAATTGGGACTATGAACAATCCCGTTCGATCTCTATTAGAGCTAGAACCACATCGACAGTACACAAGGAAATGCATTGATCAATCTCTACTTATGTATACTTCATTTGTGATATTACTTCGTTACTGGTGCATCGACGACTCGTCGATAACACGTCTGACACAGTAATGCAGTTTAGAACCGACGTCAGTTTTGCTTCGTGTTTCTTACTTTTCGACACAGCTCATTCTAGAGGGCGTCAAAAATTGCAGACCGGTTTTGGGGCCGCGAGGTCCCATAAGGCTGCCACTCTTTAGTAACTTCTCCTCGGTGGAACAAAGAAGTGAGCGCTCTCACAATCAGTTTCTCTCTGGTAAAAACACCCGCCGGTGCAAGTCGGATTGCTCTATTTCAGGGAGAGAAACGCCAAATTTTAGACGTTAATAACTAATTAACGAAGCCACAAACGCAATTTTCTCTCTCTTGAGTTTCGTCTTATTTTTTACCATAGAACACGTCCTTAAAATATTGCTCACCTGTAGGTTTACACCCTGTATATCACATAATATTATTAACCGTACTTGGATCATATGCAAGTAAAATAAATGTTTTTTACTAAATTCAGACAATTCGGGCTTAAATTAACAGAGTTGCACACGAACGGACGAAGAACCACGGGGCGTTCCGATACAAACAGAATATAAAGTAAATACACTGTACACAGGGAACACAGGCGTTCTTCAGATCGTAATAAATTTGTTTTTGTCTCTATTCGAAAAGAATTAAATCCAATCTTCATTTCCATTTCTCCTCATATTCGAAGCTCACTTATAGACAATCTCCTAACAAATATTTACAATCATTAACAATACGAGTGTAAACATCTCGTAATATTGGCTGGTCTTCATTACGTATTTGCTAGCGTTGAAATGGTTCTTTCGTTCCCTTATAAGTACATGTTGAACCGGACAGGGCAGATCTCCGTTCGTTGATTCTTGTCATTGCTAAACGTTGAACTAAAAGTGTCAGATCCCTGCAAAATTTAGCTTTAGCAGCACCATCGAATTGGAGACGCCGAAACCTGGGCCGTGAGCACTCTCAGTTCCTCGCTGCCAAAATGTAGGATTTCTCCTTTTCCGAGCTCTCCCCACTACTGTATGCTGCTGTATGTTCAATGTTCAATGTGCTCTCCCCAGTTACATGTGGCATTATTATAGACGTCCCGAATGNCTTGAGTTTCGTCTTATTTTTTACCATAGAACACGTCCTTAAAATATTGCTCACCTGTAGGTTTACACCCTGTATATCACATAATATTATTAACCGTACTTGGATCATATGCAAGTAAAATAAATGTTTTTTACTAAATTCAGACAATTCGGGCTTAAATTAACAGAGTTGCACACGAACGGACGAAGAACCACGGGGCGTTCCGATACAAACAGAATATAAAGTAAATACACTGTACACAGGGAACACAGGCGTTCTTCAGATCGTAATAAATTTGTTTTTGTCTCTATTCGAAAAGAATTAAATCCAATCTTCATTTCCATTTCTCCTCATATTCGAAGCTCACTTATAGACAATCTCCTAACAAATATTTACAATCATTAACAATACGAGTGTAAACATCTCGTAATATTGGCTGGTCTTCATTACGTATTTGCTAGCGTTGAAATGGTTCTTTCGTTCCCTTATAAGTACATGTTGAACCGGACAGGGCAGATCTCCGTTCGTTGATTCTTGTCATTGCTAAACGTTGAACTAAAAGTGTCAGATCCCTGCAAAATTTAGCTTTAGCAGCACCATCGAATTGGAGACGCCGAAACCTGGGCCGTGAGCACTCTCAGTTCCTCGCTGCCAAAATGTAGGATTTCTCCTTTTCCGAGCTCTCCCCACTACTGTATGCTGCTGTATGTTCAATGTTCAATGTGCTCTCCCCAGTTACATGTGGCATTATTATAGACGTCCCGAATGATCATGAGTAACGTAAGTGGGGGCAAAAAAAGGTAGTGGGGGACAGCTCGGGAAGAGGAGAAATCCTACATTCTGGCATCCCTGGTGAAGCGTACCACGAGGAATCGGAGATTGTGATCTTTGGAAATAAAGTCGATCTTCACAGAGGTTTTAATTGCGTTTTTCTTTTGCATCTCTTTATACGAACAAGCGTGCTCTCGTTGCGACTCAAAAAATAAAAACGAATTTCGGCACGCCTCGCCTTCCGTCTGTTCCATTGCGTTCTTTTTGTCTCCATGATCTTTCTCTCCAGCATGTGTAGCTTCTCAATGTGAAATTATGTTCATTCTATTAAAATGACGTTTCAAATTATGTCAATTATTGAAGTACAATGTATGTACATCCTAGATACGTGTAGAAGTCGCATCAACGATTTGTATAAAAAAAATGTAACATAAAGTAACAACTTTTACTAACCCTTGCATTACTGTAGTCTGTGGACTAACGCCACTGAACGAGCCCCGCACCGCCCCGAAAAGCGTGCACATTGCAAAATTTTCAAATAATTAATTCAATGTACATACATAATCCCGAGTACGAAAATCGAATCAATCGTTCGTTATTAGATATTTCGCTGTGCTTTCCCTCATTGAATTTACTTCGTAACTGATAATTCAACTTAGAAACAATTTATACCTAGATCCTAGATTGCCTAATTTGATACGAAAGCATTTGAAATTGATGTAATCAATATTTCCGAAGAATCAAGCGCTACACGTGAGACATAATTCCTAAGGCAAGTGCAATAAGAACATCATTACAGACAAAATGACAAGCAGATACGTTAGAAAATGAAAGAAAGACGGCTGATAAAACAGAATATTCTGTCGGTAGAAATAATTGATACCACGAAGAACTAAAACGCGGAACAGCTGCGAAGTGAAGCTAGAGGATGAAAAGGAAAGATAGAAAATAATGTAAATAAAGTACAAAATGACTATTTATTAGCGTCAAAATGTTAATAAACAAGTACAGATATAGAAAGTAGTAAGTATTACAGTGTTTCCCGTTTTGTTTCTTCGTTACAACGTACGTTTTTACAAGCACTTTTCAAACTCGTTAGATCCCTGTGACTGAGGCAATTTAATATTTTTTCAATACAAAGTAAATCATAATCTGTACTCAAATAACGGCGGAAAAATATAACGCCCTCGTCTAACAATTCCTTTCGAACCATACCTCTGTTGAAACGACGCTTTATTATGTCTTCGTACGTAGGAAATTCTCTCTGGTAAATGCCACCTTTCAAAACCAGAATAACATCTTCACTTCTCGCGTATAATGCTATTTGGTCTATCCGTTTTGTTAAGATATCATAGAATGTCAGGTTAGTATTCTTAATTTTTGCGCTTTTCATTCTCTTTATCTCTTCCTTACATTCCTTCTCAAGTTGAGACTGCCCGTTTATATCCGTAGTGATATTAAGATTCACCACATTTCCGTTTTTCTCGTCAAAGCTAGCAATCATCATTTTAAGTAGATGCTGTTGGCTAATGGTAAACTTGTAGAGCTTTTCAGGCCTATACTGAGAATAGTTAACGTGGAACGCTGTTTCATGGTTTCTGTTAACAATGTGTACATCAGCACCGTTTTCTATGAGAGTTAGAATGGCTTCGTCCTGATCGGTGCCGGATGCGACATGAAGAGCAGTGTTACCACGCAAATCTGTGGAATCGATGTCGACGCCCGAATTCAAGAGAATTTCCATGATACGTATATTACCATTTGCAGCGGCTAAATGTAACGCTGTGACTCCAAACGCATCTTTTTCATTTACGTCAGCACCTCCTTCGATTAGCAACCTGCAAATATCTTCTCGTCCTACTCGCGCAGCAAAAAGGAGCGCTGTCTTGGCGCCATTATCCTTTATCAAGTCCAACAGCGCCGTTACTCGAAATTTGTCTTCGGCATCCACGTCAGCTCCTCTTTTGATTAACAATCTGCAAATTTCTTGTAGTCCTTCTCGCGCAGCTATATGAAGCGGTGTCTCGCCCCTTTTAGTTTTCAAGTTGACATTGGCACCCTGATCTATGAGAATTTGTACGATATTATTGTGTCCCTCCTGAACGGCTACGTGCACCGCCGTTAATCCATATTTGTCTTCTTCGGCATCCACGTAAGCTCCTCTTTTGATTAACAATCTGAAAATTTCTTGTAGTCCTTCTCGCGCAGCTATATGAAGCGGTGTCTCGCCCCTATTAGTTTTCAAGTTGACATCGGCACTCTTATCTGCGAGGATTTGTACGATATCTTCGTATCTCTTGTATCTCTTCTGAATGGCTATGTGCATTGCCGTTAATCCATCTTGGTCTACTTTGGCATCCACGTCACTTTCTCTCTCGAGTAGCAACCTGTAAATTTCTTCTTTTGCTCGCGCAGCAAAATGAAGCGGAATCTCGCCCCTTTCAGTTTTCAAGATGTCATCGGCACCCTCATCTACGAGAACTTGTACGAATTCTATCACTTTCAAGAGAATGGCTATTTGCAGCTCCGTTAATCCATATACGTCTCCTTCGTCATGCCTAAGTTCGCCATTGAATAAGATCCTGCACAATTCTTTTATTTTTTGTTTCACAGCGTTCGTATCAACCATTTTATTGCCCTTTTTAGTTTTCGATATGACAGCAGCACCACCTCCTAAAGGAATTTTCACGAAATCATTGTCACTCTGCAGAATGGCTAGATACAGTTGAAAAAAGCGACCTGCACTTATGCCATTCACGTAAGCACTTCTGTTAACGAGCGTTTTAACTCTTTCTATGTCCTCTTCTCATATAATATGTAAGCCTAGATATAGTTATTCATTAAAATTAAGTAATTGATAATGATGGGATGTAATACGCCTGTCCGTTCCTCTAGTCTCAATGACCTAAAAGTTCAACCACGTTATTTCTCTCTCTCCCTTTTATATCCCATATCTTATTACTAATTTTAACAACTTTTAAGTGTTTGTTAAATTACTAGCAATATGGTTTTACTTACTAAATTCTATCGTAGTTGCAGTTATGTACTGATGTTCGTTACACGACTTACACAATGGACTGCAATGGACCAGTGATGTAAGATTTGCGGAATTTCGATCGCCGCGCGTACGGTGA